AACTCCCAAAAATAGAAAAAAGAGAGAGAAACAAACAATCTCCACCGTCATTCTAGAGACAAGAAACGCAAGCATGACGAAGGAAGTGAGCGAGGAGGCCGTACACCAGCGCGGCAAGGACTACGTCGACCCCCCGCCGGCGCCATTCCTCGGAGCCGGCGAGCTGATGCTCTGGTCCTTCTACCGCGCCATCATCGCCGAGTTCATCGCCACGCTCCTCTTCCTCTACGTCACCGTCGCCACCGTCATCGGCCACCTCAAGCTCAGCAACGCCGACCAGTGTGGCGGCGTCGGCCTCCTCGGCATCGCCTGGGCCTTCGGGGGCATGATCTTCATCCTCGTCTACTGCACCGCGGGCATCTCCGGTAAACACCAATCTCCTCGCGAGCAATTTCAATTTCCCATACATTTTCCGATTTTTTGATTTTTGGAAATTTCAGGCGGACACATCAACCCGGCGGTAACCTTCGGTCTGCTCCTGGCGAGGAAGGTGTCTCTGATACGCGCGGTGGCGTACATGGTGGCGCAGTGCCTCGGCGCTGTGTGCGGCGTCGGCCTGGTGAAGGCCATCATGAAGAGCCCCTACAACCGCTTCGGCGGCGGCGCCAACTCCGTCGCCCAGGGGTACAACATCGGCACGGCGCTCGGCGCCGAGATAATCGGCACATTCGTCCTCGTCTACACCGTTTTCTCCGCCACCGACCCTAAGAGGAGCGCGCGTGACTCCCACGTCCCGGTAAGCACACTCGCACGCAGAAAATGCATCCAAAACCGAATCCATTCAGTTTTTAACGATTTTTTTTATGTGCATAGGTTTTGGCCCCACTACCCATCGGATTTGCTGTGTTCATGGTCCACTTGGCAACAATTCCGATCACCGGAACCGGTATTAATCCGGCAAGGAGCTTCGGAGCTGCGGTTATCTACAACAACGAAAAAGTTTGGGATGACCACGTATGTATTTCATCATTTTTTGTTCAAAAAGGAAGCTATAAACGAGATGGGTTGCATATTTAATGACTAGTAATATTTTGAGCCNATTTTTTTTTGCAGTGGATTTTCTGGGTCGGACCATTTGTTGGGGCATTGGCAGCAGCAATTTATCATCAGTTTGTTTTGAGGGCGGCAGCTGTTAAGGCGCTGGGGTCGTTCAGAAGCAACCCAACAAACTGAGCTTTTGTAATAATTTCTTTCTGAATTTTTGAATTCAGCTGTGGATCTTTCTTAGTTGCCTGCTGTGTTTCTTCTTGATGGATGATTAAGCTTTTGTTTAGTTTTAAAATTCTGTGCATTTGGTTAGAATTCAGAAGAACACTAGCTCCGATGTTTTTTTTTGGGGGGGGTATTTTACCCTTTTGATCTGTAATTTGTTGAATCTTTCTTGCTGTTGGTATCATGGGCTACTGTGTGTTTAATTTGGCCATTGGCATGCGACAAAAGTACTGTGCAAGTTGGGTGGGTGATGACCTGTTTTATTGCATTTTGTTGTGCCATTTTTTAAACCTAAATTTGCCTTTTAAACTAGGTTATTAGTAGGGTAAATCAATTGTTGAAATTGAGTCGTTTATCAATATTAATTAATGAACTTTATTCGATTTCTTGTCAAGCCCTAATTAGGTGAATCATAGAAAATTTTTACATTGAGTTATACGAGCTAAAACTGAGAACGACTGTTGTTAATTAATCGGGCTCTAGTTTGCATTGTATTCAACAAGTCGAATTCTCAATCAAGCTTTTAATGAGTCAGTGCTCGAGTTTGCATTGAGTTCAACGAGCCAAACTCTCAATGAAGCCTTAATAATGAGTTAGACTAAGTTGAATCGAAATCATGAGTTTCGTTTAAATGGATACAGTGATTTGTCATTATAGTATAGTGATAAAAACATAAATGAGTAAATCTCGAATTAAGCGATTGCAATTTTTAATGATTGTGGATATTATCATGTGCACTTGAAAAGAAGAAATAATGGCGCAAATATGATATATTGTGTTTGGTAGGTAACTAACTTTTGCTGTTACCAAAAGCCAAAGTCTCGAAAGGAATCAAGTTTTTTTCTGGGTGGGGAAGGAGTGTAATATAAGCTGTTTCTTTCACTTTTTGCTTTCATGTCGAAACAGTAACTAAAAGCAAGATATGAATGGGAAAAAGAAGAGTCCTTGAAAGAAAACTAAACCACAAAAATTAACTTGGTTGATTGATAATATATTTGACCAAAGACATTTTGAAGGAGGGCGGTGGGGTGGTCCTTGTGGACCTGTTCCATTAGGCTAGGCTCTTTTTCGCTAAAAAAAATGGGTATTCCATCCTAAACAAAACAATTCATTCCAAAAATATGTATATATTTTTATGTTATAGACTATGACCAAATAAGTTTTTTAATTCAATTTATCACCGTTGGATCAAACACAAATTCATATGGATATGTATTTTTCTATATTGATCCAAAGGTAAAAAAAAATCGTGACTCAAATTCAACAAAACCTAAACAAAACACCAAGGTCTAAGCCATCAAATCAACACACCCGCATGAGTATGAGTATGTACACATGCATTTGATCTGACGACTCAAATTCAATCGAATTCTCCAAAACATTATAGCTCCATCTCCCTTGTAGGGGTCACTAACCTTGACAAATTTTTTTCCCCCAAAATTAATACCTGAAAATGGAAATGGTTCAATCATAGCTAAGGCATCTGAGATTTGTGGATCCAAACTCCAAATAGCTGCAACCGATTTGAGCTGGTACTCTGATTCTGTCTCTGAAGGAAATTGAACTAGTTGCACTGCAGCCATTAGAACCGAACCGAACGGTTCGATTAATCATAGGAAATCCAATTGAGATATAACAAAATCCCCACTCATGCAAATTAATCAAAACTTAAAAAAAAAAAACCAAAAGAATCAAAACTCATCGTCATCTTTCTCGGCTATAACCTTGGCTAGCTACTGCTCTTGCTGCAGCCTCTCCCTCCTCTTCTCCGCACTCTCCTCCTTCTCCTTATCCGAATTTGGCGGGAACCTTAGGCCCGAAAGGCCTCATTGTGCATATTTAAACAAAATGCAATCCTCGAGTTGAAGGCCGATTGGGGCTCGTTTGTGGAGTAGATATCGCCCGTCTCCTTGGACACCATGCACCCGTTAGAGAGGCCTCGATTGCGCCGTCTCACAAAATTGTCACTACATGCAGGGGCGGATTGCGCTGTCTCACAAAATTATTTTACAATATAGTTATATATGGACACCATGCACCCGTTATATATGAACAATTTAAAAAAAAAAAATAGTACATATATAACTATATTGTAAAATAATTACAGAGAGATTTTTTTAATATTTAAGTTGTTTGCGTTTTTTATTTGTATTATATTGTAGACAACATATATAAATTAGTTTCATCGATTTTCCACAAAAGTCAACATTGATTTTGATACATATTAAATATTTTAGGTGTTCTTAAAATTATAATTATAAGTTTAAAATTAGCTACTAAATAACGTTGTAAGAATATCCAATACAAAAGAAAAAATAAATATTGACATTAAAAAAAGATATATTTAACGAGATTTGAATTTATGTAATTATGAGTGATATAATATATAAGAACATGAGCAGTGAATAAATATCATTTTTTTTCACTTTGTAAAGGTTACGTTTGTGCCCTCAGCTTTGCGATCATCAACCCTTGACTACATGTTCACAAAATTGTAATATTATGTACCTTTAGATTTCAATAATTGACCAAATTAATTATACGGTACCTCAGCTCCAGATTAAAGGAGCTGAAGAAAATACACAACTAAATTTTGCAGATTAAATGAAGTATCTTATCAGTCATCACAGGTACATATAAAAATCACATTACACTTCCTTTTCATCAGGAGTATAAGTGAGCAAAGTTTCACAAAAAGGTCCAATAATAAAATTTAGACATCCTTAATTGCAGCCCTTTTCAAGCCTACCAAAACCCATACATGGAAATCATTAATCACCACCATTCACCACAAGGGTAACTAAGAGTTGCATATCCACAAATTTTAGCCCAAATTCGAAAACAATAAACCCAGGATCACGAAAGACGAGTCAGTCCTCAGTCCTCACATAATATGGATTGATACAAAGTTCTTACTCCCAACCAAACAAGATTCAAAGTTTCACAAAACATTGATGAGGTCAATTTTTTAAGCCACATGAGCAAACTCCTTAGCTGCTATCCGGAAATTTAGCCTCGTAATCTTGGGGAGACTACACAGTGTAAAATAAATAATAAAGTAATTATTCCATTAAGTCAAAAAAAATAAATCTAGGAAAAGAAAATTTTATTTTGAAGGAAACAGAGAGAATATTACCATGAAAGTTGCAGTGATCATTTTTCCAGCAAACCACCGACCGTGAAGTCCTTGCTGTGCACTAAGAGCAGATTGGGTGTGCTCAAATCGTAGGTATACAAATCCAGCCGAGTTCCTAGTAGCAAACAAAAAGTGTCAGCAATCAACCATAATGTACAATATCTTTTCAAAAGGAAAAAAACATATTAAATTATAACTAAATAAGAAAATGCAACTAAAACTCCTAGGTTGTGTGACCTTCCACCGAGTCAATATGGCATTAGACTCGAATGATGAGTAAGAGAAAAGATGAAATAAAAGATTCAAAAACAAACATCAACGATCTCATGCCATGGCCCATGATCCAAAAACTATATAAATGGTTACATACTTTTCCACGTAGATATGCTTTAATTTCCCATATTTTGCGCATTCCTCCTGGCAATCTTCCTTTATATCCAGATCAAAATCTGGCTCTGTCTGCATATACAACACAGATTTGAAAGAGCAAAAGAAAATAATAATAACAGGCCCAGTTATGAAAAATACATAAAACATTATAAGTGAGTTATGAAAAACCAAAAATCAATGCTAAAAGAAAAAGAAAGAAAGAAAGAAAAAACTAGTGACATAAATAAACAACAAATCAACCATTCATAAATAATAGAAGTTATTATACTGATAATTAAAAATAAAAATCTTGTAAATGTATAAATGAAAACGATTTTGTAGGTGAATTATTTTTGTAAAATTAATGGCATCCAAACGCACCACCTCTATAGCTTAATTGGTCATTATGTAGTAAGTTGGGTTTCGTAGTAACATAACATTACAATCCAATGGGCTACTGTCTTGATCCAAACAAAAGAAGTGGGCTTAATAAACGATCCTTTCGCAGCTTTTCCAACAGCCCATAGATGATGTGCCAGTCTCTTTAAAAAGGGGAAAAAAAAGCAAAAGCCCTTTATTTGATTTTTCAATTCAAAGTATAAGACAATAAATAAACAAAGTTATTTAATACTGGAGCAACTGCTGTACATGATGGCAGTAAAACCAGAGAGAGAGAGAGAGAGAGAGAAGCACTACTGCACATTGTTTGCTCTACTAACCTCCACACTAGGATCAAACATGTTCTTTAGTAACAAACATTCACTGGGAACACCAACAGAATCAACGGATGGAGCGTTAGGAATAGGCATAGAAAGACCTGCAGCTGCCAAGCCAGGAAGCACCGCCACAGATGTCTGCCCAACAACTGGCACTGCTGATGAGCCTATGATGCTGCACAACATGAAAATTATGGTGCCATTTTATACGCGGAAAGCACATAATACGAACATACAACAGAAAGGTACTAATAATAATACCTTGATGCAGTCCCAGTCCGATCCAACTTCTGCATAAGAAGTGCTCGAGAATGTGCATTCAAGGACTGCGAACAGTAGTAAGCAGATCAAGTTTTCAATAACATGTAAGTGCAAACTTTTATATATACAAGAAATAAATAGAAGTGAACCCAAGTATGAGATATAAAAATAAAAGAATGAGTAAAAATAGGCAGGAAGAAACGAACTATATATCGCAACACAGTACATTAACAAGAAGGCTCCGGAAAAATAAATCTGCAGCAAAAGAGGCAACAGTGTAAAAACTAGCTGAACTAATTGAAGTTTACAAAGACTGCAATGATTAAAAACAATGTTAAAAAAAAAAAAATCACTTCTTCAAGACAAACAAAGTAGCAGAGCCATATAAAACAACGAGCAGAAAGTAGGCATCAAAAGTAAGACCAGCATGAGACATAAACGCAGGACGTGTGACTAACCATGCCATTGCCCTCATCATCATCAAAATCAGCAACATTGACCCCAGTATCTTGCATGCCAGCTTGATCAGTGACAGCAGACACCTACAAGTTAATAAAAACACGCAAACTTTTCATACCAGCCTCACAGGTGACCTTTTTTTCTTCACACGACAACATAAACAGCTAAGACAGCTTCTATTCTCCAAGTAAGAAAAGATGTGTGGTGTGCACTAGTTGATAGAAAAAAAAATAGTAAAGCCGCACTACCTTGATTTGACGACCTGCAATTTGCAGTTGCCCATTTAAATTTTGAGCGAGCTTTGCATCTTCGAGGCGTGCAAACTGCAGACAAAGCAATGTGATCTAAGCGTTTAGAGTGGCATAAATTGCTCTTCATGCACCTAGAATAGTCAAATGTACAAGGAAAAGCCATCTTCACTATCACACTCATCTATTAGGAAACTCAAGGTCACCTGTATAAATGCAAAACCTTTGCAATACGAAGTCCCAGGGTCAGTGGGCATCTGGATCAGCTCAATTGTGCCAAAAGGTTCAAACACCTAAACAAGATGTGGAACGCACAAATTATAGTTACTCTCACACTTCTAAAGAAGATGGAGCAAGAAAAAATCTAAAATTGAAAACAAAAACAAAGACTGTTAATTTCCTCATCAAGTTATATCAATGTTATATCAGCTATCTGTAAGCATGAGTATGTTCCACCTGGCGAAGTTGATCCTCTTGAATAGTCACTGGCAGATTGCCAACATACAGCTTCCTAGCTCCAGCTGAATGTGGACCAACACCTCCCCCTGTTACAGCAGGAGTAGGCTGAACAAGATTCTTTTCAGCTTCTGATGGCTTGACCATGACGGGTTGACCCAGAAGCGGCTGACCAGAGAGAGCAATCGCCATAGGAACTGACATTGCATCATAGAACTCAATGTATCTGCAGAAATGTAAAAGAGATACAAAATAAGCAGTTAAAAGATGCTACGCTAATAAATGACGTCGACATAGGTAACCCTAGAACAAAATTCATTAGATGATTACAAGACACAAATTGAACAATGCAAGAAAATTTTATTTAGATTTACAAATATAATTAATATCCATATAGTAATTATACAAGTATAAATCAATATTTTATCAACTGGATTGTTCGTAGTACAGACAGAATATCTTTGGAAGCCTGGTAGCTAGTCCTTGAAGACAATGATCGCTCTTAGAGCAATAATTCAAGGCTAACAACCATCAAATAATTATTCTCAGAGGTCAGGACCAGCCAAATTACTGAATGGAGAATCAACATTCATTAAGGAAGTAAAAACCTTAACCCTTGCCCCCATTTCGAAGTGAACATATGAGAAACAGTAGCCTCTTCAATGAATCGAGAATGAAATAAAGCAATAGTCGGTCTACAAGGCAAACATACTTCAATTCCAAGCAGATAAACCAAGAATGAAAAACAACTATATATTATTGTCCAGGGAGGTAATGATTACCCAACTCCTTTGGAGCGTCTGGTATTGCGATCCATTATGAGCTGTACATCTCTAACCTATATCAAACAGAACATCATTAATCGCTGAAAAGAATAATTTTGTAGTTATTTAAAATTAATAAGAAAAACAATCACACAAACGCACACATCCAAGAATCCCATTGAAAATAAAAAAATCCAAGATCAGTTAACACTTCAAAACCTCTTTACAAAATATATGTCATTTCTGAAGAACAGACAAGACACTCATCTAATTCTCATCACATAACCGATTAGCCAAATTATTAGCATAACAGTAATATGCACCTATATAGACATTCACCAAAGATATGATAACACCAAAAAACTGCTTCAAATAAAATTGGTTTTAACACTGCATTTAAAGATGTAAGATAACTTAATAAAGATGTGGTTCTACCTTGCCAACTCTGGAGAAGAATTCATAGACATCTCGTTCACCTGCCTTCAACGTAATCTAGCAAATTGTAACAAAAAAGCATCAATAGACTTGCAGACGCAATGATGCAACCAAATAAAACTAGAAGAGAGTCGGGGAAAATTTAATATGCAGTTCAACCACCTGATAAGCAAAGACTGTTCTCTGATCTCGCTCAGGATCAGCTGCCGACTCCACGGCATCTTCCTTTTTCTCTTTGTATTTTCTGCAGAAACAAAAAATATAAACGCCAAAATGCTACCATATCAACAACAATTGCATAATGATCTTGCAAACTAATACACGTGCAGCAGCCTTGACCATCTGCAAATGGGTTCGCTCCTTGAAAATAATCAATTATATTCAAAGATCCACATTAAAGGAAAAATCCCCACAAGGAAGTATAAATTTCTCCAGTATGCTTAAAAGATCCAAACCCAAGACAACAACCCTGCACGCAACTCCATAGAGTCAATATGCTGAACTAGCATATGTTTGGTAGAAACATAAAACATCATGATTTTTGGAATAATGTGACCAACCTGGTGAAAAAGTGGCAATTAACAGAAATGTGAACACTGAAAAACTTCAGGCATTGAACTAACAACAGGCTGGTCCTTCTATGGCAAACCTAATGTTACAATGTTACATTATTCACCACCATATTAAATAACAACTTTAGCATCATAGAATGGAAAATATAGCAATATCCAACAGAACAGCCACTTTAACCAACAGAACCACCATATCCAATAGCTATGAACCTCATATTTGAGCAACATGCAAACAAATATGCATTATGCAGATGAGATAATAAAGCGAGTGCATCATAATTTCTCAAAATGGAATAAGTTTCAATTCAGAAAAACACAAAAAGTGCTCAGTGAAACAACCGTAAGGTGTAAGTTTAACGAATGCAAGTATGTAGAGAGACTTGCATATCTGGCACAAACTCAATTTGTCCCCTTAATATATTGTATACATTTATTTGCATCTGTGCAGTATCTCTATATGTGAAAGTTAACAATAATTTGGCAGCCCTATTAGTCCATTGAAAATGGTAATGATATTCAGTGGGCATTTTTAATAGTAGGATGCAGGAAGGTTCACTGGAGGAATGAATATTTAGCACCCAATTGAGGAATCATACTGAGGGGAAATATCAATTAAAGTTGCAGACAGAAACTGCAAAATATATATGCAAAGCATAATTGCCAGGGTAAGATCTACTTATAAAAAAAGGTCAAGTAAAAAATGCAAGTACCAATACAAAATTAACTTTCAAGACACATTATAGTTGTAAAAGCTATTTTTCTAAATCGTCTAAACTCTAAACACAGTCCTTAATATCTTCAAACAGACAATAGCCCCTGTTTTGCAATCCACAACTAAAGCACTCCACTAAGGTAATAGAAAAAGGCAGAAATTTTGTCACACAGGAAACTACAATTTCTATAGCAGAATGTGAAAGGCTTACCTGCTTTCGTGATCTCGACCTCTGAACTCTCTTTCCCTTCGTCCTTCTCTACTATCTTTATCCATGCTTCCCATGTCCCCCCTTTTCTCTCTTCCCCGTTCATCGTGTTGCCTCTCCAAGTGACTTCTGCTTCTCTTTGACCTCTCTCTTTCCTCCTCCCGGTTCCTTTCTCTATCATGTTCGCGTTCTCTCCTGTCTCTGTTTCCCTCCCTTTTCCTGTCACTATCCTTCTCCATGTCTCTATCTCGATCTCTGTCCCTATTTCTCTCCTTTCCACTACCATCTTCCCTGTCCCGGGTTCTGTGCTCCCGACCACCCGAGTGCCTCTCCTTCTCACCTTTCGATGAGCCATTTCTCGCTCTTTTACCTTTCTCATGGTCATCAGATTCTCTCCTTGACCTGGACTGCTTTGACCGGCGTTCAAAATCATCACCATCATCATCGCTCCTATATTTCCCACGATCATCGGACTCTTTCCTAGACCTCGAAGGCTTTGACGAGCGGTCCAAATCATCTGCATCATCGTCATCACTTGCATGCTTTGAACTCCGAGCCCGACCCATCTCTTTAGAATCAAGCATCATATCATCCCCGTTGGACTTATCCTTCTTCAGTTCTGGGTTCTCAACAGTATTCTCTAAATATTCAATCTCATCGAAATCCATAGTAACAAGACTTCTAACCAAGCTACACCTGATAGAATTATAAATAATCTGTATCAAACAAGGAAACAGCAACAAATCAGAATACAGAACGGCTTTCTCTCAATTATCACTGCTATGCCTAGGCTCTAAATACACAATACAGGTTTTTGCGCTGCAAGTCAGAATTGATGACAAATGATAGTACGGACAAATTTCATGGCTGCAAAGCAGTAGCGCCACATAGAAGTTACAGAATGAACAATTATTCATACTCCAAAACCCTAAGTTAACAAATACAAAAGCTCAGACATACAGTCACAATTAACAACAAGCTGAAACAGGTGGAGATTAGATTTTATCGCTTTCAGCGATGTACCTGACAAGAGAGCCGAAGGCTGAACCTAAGGTAGCTTGGAGCTTTTCAGCAATTTTCTGCAGACTAAATACGAAGTGAAAGGATTTTCGTTTGCGAATTTATTGATTTAATTGTTAATTGAAAACTTGGTAATGGTCGCGAGACACGACTTTCAGGTGACAGATAAGTGGGCCTGAAGACTGGTTGTCGGAACTTATTGCTGGGCTTATGATTTAGGAGAAGTAGGAGCCCGATTAAAATGGGCTTTTCTGGGCCTTGATTTGAACAGTTGTGCCTTCCACTGATTTCATAAGAGTAATTTTTACTTTGTGAAAACTGCTTGTTAAGTAGAGTTGTTAAACGGGCTAGCCCGAAACCGCGAGGGCTAGCCCTAGCAGACTTCGGGCTAAACGGTTCAGGCCTAAGAAGTCCAGATTTAAACGGGCTACCAATAAAAGGACTTAACCCTAAACCTAGCAGGCTTCGGGCTATACGGGCTATAATAATAATAATAATAATAAAAAAAAAATTACAACACCTAGTTAACGGTTTTTTTTTTCAACAGCTATTTAATATTTACCACTATATATATACAACTACACTTCATATATGAACACACATTACAAACTCTTAAATAACATATTGTTTCGCAATAGAAAAAATAAATGTTCGAATTTTTACTTATAACTACCATTTGACTAGTTATTTGGTATGCTTCGGGAATTTTCACAATATAGCATACTGCTGAATTTATATTCTATCACTATATTATATGTGTTAGGTCTTTGTCTCATTTGTTTTTTATTCGCCGTTCTGATTAGGTTAAATATTTTGTGTGAAACAGAATAAAATTTGTTAATAATTATTTATCAAAATAATAATCATACATTATAACTCATAATTACATGTGAATTAAAAATAACAAAATTATAATATACAAGGAATCATGAGACATATTCCTTACCTTTTTAAAAACATATACACCACCCAACTCAAGTTAAACGGGCTAGCCCTAGCAGTTTTCGAGCTAGCCCTAACGGGCTTCGGGCTAAACGGTCCGGACCTAAAAAACTTGAATTTAAACGGGCTGCCAATAGCAGGCCCTAACCCTGTTTTTTTTCTGATTAAACGGGCCGGCCCGTTGGACCAAGGACCATTTAACATCTCCTACAACCTTTTTCTACTTATTTGTATATTACAAGGCTTAGTAATTATAATGTATTAAATATTCACTGATTATAACGCGGTATGTAATTTATTTTTTACTTGAGTTCTGAGTTCGGTTGTTTTTTTTATTATTATTATTATTTATGGATCGCTTTTGAATGGTTTAATTGTTGTTTTATTTTGAATGGTCGTATTTACAAAAGGTTAACATGTAAAGTAATCTTTTTAGTTTTCTTTCAGTGAGCATTGTTGATTTGTCACGAGAGAGTAGCAACACATTTCAGTAGAATTTCACCATAAAACCCGACCAATCCAGGTTTACCTGAACAGAAAACACGGATAACCCAATCCAATGAGTTTTTTACTTTTTACGACACCGTAATTCTAGTCCGAGTTCATCTGAAAACATAATAGACAGCAAAATAACTCAGTATCGAATTCTACTGTTACCACCTATAAACTGAAATAATCGTCATACAGAATGCAATAATGAAATAGACATCGGCATTTTTTCCCGCCTCTCTCCAAAGATAACAGGGCAAGCCAAGTTTACCTCTTACAATACGAAAAATCAGGCTCTACTGTAAATACTAAAAGAATACCTCTCCAAGATCAAGAGAGCCTATAAAATAAAACCAGACATTAAAATCACACATCATCATGGCTGAAATTCAACCTATTTTTTATCCTTGTCGATAAATCACTACCATTGACCTCCACTTGGATTATTACCTCTGTTCATCCTTGGATTACCTGTTGGATTTCTTCCCGAACCAGGTGGAACGCTTTTCTTGTACCTGTTATTTTCGGCAGGTGGGTTTTGTTCATTGGGCGTGATATTCAACTTTGGCGTGCTAAAAATACCGTAGCTTTTGTTTTGCGGAGTGGGAATATTTGGTCTGAAGAAATCTTGCTTGAAAGTTTCACGAGGCAGGTTCGGGCTCATTTGAGGCCCATTATTTACCCTTGGTGGCTTCCCAGCCGTTGGATCTCTTGCATATCTGTTTCCCGTTTGATTTATACCTGCTGATGGTGATGATGATGATGGCACATTCAAAACTGCTGGTTGCTCAAGTAAAGGACTTTTTCCCTGCTGCTGATTTTCTTCATTAATGTCGAAAATTGTGCTGATATCATCATCTTTGTCGGAAACAGCCCATGATTTTTTGGGCCCAGCATCCCGGTCCAGAATACTGTCAGGGGCCACAGGAGCAGTTTCAGGCCCGTTTTTGTCTGGTTGTGTGTCTTCACTCTGTGAAGAGACTTTGTTTTTTCCAGCCTTTTTAGGGGCCCCAAACTTGATGTGCCTCACAACGACAAAAGCCTGTTTCTTTTCGACCTTTGGATCACTTTCCTCGACGGCAACATCTTTAATCTGACGAGATTAAGTTAAAAGCTTTTGAGAAAAGAAGAACAAGGATAGTGTAGAAGTAAAAAGATAAGAATATGAGTGAAGGCTTACTAGAGCAGTAAAACGAGATAACAATGTTGGCAAGTCACACCCTTCAGTAGGATCAATTGCTGTACACTGTAGGAAAACGGACCGTAATAGAGGGAATATGAGTAACTATTTATTTTTTTTTTGGGAAAAAGATGAGTGTGTAAAAAGATTACCTTGACTCTGTAGCCACTCTCCATTAGTCGTTTAACAGATTCAGCTTTCATTTTCAGGTCATTTTTTTCCTAGTACCAACAAGGCAATTTGAGGTTGGAAAGGGTAATTAAGGCATGCGAGTAACCTTGAATTGAATAAAAAGGCTCACAAAACATATACTGGTCTATCAAAAGCCAAGCAAAACCATTTCAAGGTGTGCATTTAAAAAATTATAGTGGTATATTACAAGATTAATCCAAGAGATTATACGGTGAGTTAAAAAATGAATTTGGGCTTGTTTGATGCATTGGAATGAAGAGTGAAGATCAAATAACTAGAATTGAGGAGTCATTTGAAATCACTCAACAATTATTGAGCTCCGTTCGACTAGGGTGAATGTGAAATCATCCAATTTCAATTGTGATTCAACCAAGTGTGGGGGTTTAAACTTCACAATTTGAAATCCATAGAGCCAAATTCTGCAATCCAAATACAGCCTTAATCTTCTCTCATTTATTTGTGAAGAACTGAACTGTGTAAAGAAACTTATCTCATGTATCTTGAAGAATTAATTATGTAAGATTGCAAAAAGATAGTGACTAAAATTCTTTTTTATTTTTCTTCCCTTATATTATTAGAATCCAGGATCAAAGTACATGGAAAGGAAAAGCTAACAACAAACTCACAATTTTAGCAGCAAAACGGATTTCTTTACAGGGTCCTTTCTTGAGCGTAGCCTGCAGAAAAAATAAATTGGTGAATTGATTCGATCGAAAACAAAACAAGAAGAATTATATATCAATATGGACTTATCGGCAGGGAACTCGCAAATCTGTGAAAGGTCCCAACATCACGGAAGAAAAGCAAACAGATTATGCATTCCACTGTATCAAAACACTGCATTAATAATAAAATGAAAAAAAAAAAAGCAATCAACCTTGGTTTTAGCACGCTCCTTCTCCTTCTCCTTTGTTTTTTGAACGTACTTCTCTTTGTGAAAATCGAAAATTTTGCAAACAGGCGGCTTAGCATGTCTATCAACCTGCAGAATGTGAGTAGAGTATTTATACAGAGAATGAAGTGAAGTTTGTCCGACAAACGAATTTTAGAATTATGAGCCCCTTCGAAAAAAATACCCTTTTCTCCAAAATAACAATCATATATATCATCGTGATATTCATTATATTATCACAGCAAAGAATTGCAGTCGTAAGGATGATTGACTCAAAACATATAAACATTACCTCAACAAGATCCATCTTAAGGTTTCTCGCACGGGTCATTGCTTCATACCTCGATACCACACAGTGACCTGTAAATGGACATAAACAAAAATTTTCTACTTAAAAACATGCACATATAAAGAAACATGCTTTCATTCCAATTTTTTACATATTAGTTTCCACCAAACTTAAACCTTACAAGCTTCCTATCAGTTCAATACATTTCACTACGAAACAACACTTGGAGCTCTCTCAGCAATAATCAGCTCAATGGCAATAATTCATCACTGGTGAGGCTTGTCTTAAATTTGTTCCGAGTATAGACCAACTTTTAGGCCTTCATTACGAAATCACTAAAACAAACTCGATTTCAAAGTATCACATTCTTGTCGCGAGATAAATGCTTCATGTTCAGTTTAATAATATACATAAACTGCAAAAATCTCCATACTGATAATACCTCAACCAACACCCCCAAATTTATCATCTTACAGAAAGCACAACACCTAAATAAAATAATATAACCCCATTAAACCACAGTCGAACCGAAAAAAACAGAGAGATCGTACGCACACACCTTCATCACTAACAAGCCTAACCATGGGTGCTGTGATTTGCTCATTCAACCTCGGCCCACTTGGGTCATCATCTTCCTCCTTCTGAAAAGACTGAAATTTGCAGCTCCAATAAATAAATATACGCAGAAAAAGGAGAAAAGAGCTTTAGAAACAACACAAACTGAAGAACAAGATAACCACTATATAAATGAAGCTGAAGACACGAGCTTTTCAACAAATTACCTGAGCAGGTTTCGCATAGAATCTGACACCTAGAGGCCCGAGTAGCCCGCCCGGGACTGCTAAATCGGGTTGACCCGAAACCCGGTTCTCTGTGTGTGGAATAATGTGTTCATTGGCAAGGATTGTACCGTGATTTACAGTGAAGAATCTCTTGTGTACGCTCGTGAAGAGATGAAATTTAAGCTTCGACTGTCTCAATCTATTCCACATCGCCATGGCCACTGGCTAGATCACGAATTTCTGAGTTAAAAGTTGAGTCTGATTTTGCACACTTGCAGAGAACCCGTAATTGGCCATCCATTGATAAGAATTTGGGGAAGAAATGAAATAAATGGGCTCCCTCTGGGCCAGGAAATCCAAGTGGGCTACTTTGGGCTTTAGACCTCTGTCCATTATCAAATTGAGCCCAGTCCATGTCATCGTAAGGCTTCCACGAAAAGTAACAACGAATTTACCAACTTGGTTTAGGACATCCACATCCCTTTAACACAAATACCATTCATTCAATCAAAATGTAATACCTTCTCTCATCCACAAAATCTTTCCACTAAATCTCTATCTATTTACACACACACCCACATTCCTACACATTCATTTAAAATACATATATAGGACCCATTATCCATTCATTCAATATAAATTTTTATATTCTATTCTCAATAAAAATAAAATTTCATATTATTAAATTATAATAATAAGTTTTAAATGCATGAAAATAAAAGAACACAACAAGACCAAAATAACTTAAATTAAGATTACACAAGAAAAAAATATTACAATTACAAAAAATATTTTTTAGTTGTTGATAAAATGAGTTCAAATGTGCTCAACTGAATTGACACGAAGTTGATGATGCATTCTGTTATCTCGTATCTCTGAATTTATCTATATTGGGAAGTGTGATATAAATAAAAAATAGATTAAATATAAAAACAAAAAGAAAAAATATTGAATAAATAATTTTTTTAAAACAAAAAGAAAGAAAGACAGCATGTTAAAAAAAAAAAAAAAAAAAACATGCTGAGGCGTTTAATGGATTGAACGAATAAGTGGGGCCCCTCTTTTAATGGATGAGTCACATCCATGCTTAACAAAGGGAGGCGTTTAAACGGCAAAAAAGAACTTCGCGTTGCGGATGCCCTTATATGATCGATGTTCTTAATAAGACAATTTGTAAATCGTTACGACAATCTAGCATTTTTTATTTTTTTTTTGCTTAGTGCAAATTATGAAATAATATTCATCTTGAGGAAGTTGGAATGTCGAATGTTATAATTGGCAAATTGCTGTCACGAATTTTTGACTGTTGGGTTATACGACCCACATAAATATCCACGGCGATCTTGATCCAACGGTCAAAATCAGACGATGACAATATGATCGAATTTTCATCAATATTATACAAATGAAGCTATATGATACTATTCAATACGAATTAAGTTCAACCATATAGTTATCAAACAATTACTCAGCTCTAAATATTTTTTTTTTTTTTTTTTATTCTCTCAGATAAGATACAAATAAATATAGTGGAAGAAAGAAAAATGAACTGTCCATGACCAATAGCCACCTCACATTTCAGTATCACTACCCTCATATGCATCCCTATAAATGGGGAGGTGTCCAATGGGCCGAAGCTTCTTGGAAAGGTCCCTCATCATCCCCTTGCTGGCCCAATGAAGCCCACACGCATTGCATAGGGTCTTGGGCCCGTCGGGCCCCCTCCTCATCATCGGCGTCTCCTTGGCCCGTATCCCACAATGGCCACACCGTGTTGGCCCAATTGGGCCCTCCTCCACTTCAGTCGGGCCCAATGGGCTGCCATTCTTCGGCGCAAACTGTCCCCTCCTCCGCCTCATTCGGACTGCCACCTCGTGTCGCACGTTGTACCTTATCCTTTTCTCGTAGCACCTTAGGTCCCGTTTGTGTCGGTACTTGTTTAGGCATTCCTGACGATTGGCGTTAGTTATTCTGGCTTGAGATTGAGGCTCGATTTTTTGGCCGAACGTAAATCCACCGAGCACCAAAAGAGCTGCTTGGACTTTTTGCGTGGGGACACCTTCGAAAACGAGGAGACGGTCTTTGAACGATAGAGTAATGCGGTGTGTCGGGTCATTTTCGAGCGAGTGGTCATCGGCTTGAGGGGGAATATCGGCTGACATTATTTATCTTTGCTTCACTTTAGGAGGAAATTGATATGGAGTTTCATTTGATCGATGGTGTGAATTTGGTACTTAATGTAAAAAAGTTTATGAACTTGTTCATGTACGAAATGCATGCCTTGTAACGTGGTGTTGTGATTAGTCCACTTATAGCCGTGGATGAATGCAACTTAAGAGATGAAATTAAATTAAGGCATATTTTCGTACCGTGATGGAGTTCTTGAAAATATCTTAAAATTTTTCCCACATTTGTATGGGAATATTGTCTAGCATTTTGTTCTACTGTTTGTGTTGTAATATTTGAAGCTTACGTGTCCCAGTAATCCACATCCTACCTAGAATAATGCATGTGGTATTCCATAAATCATGTGTAAAGAACCAATGAGATTACTCTTGAGGTAGAACTTTGCCGCCCTTGTGGTCCTACCCGGCTCGATTCCGGATTAGTCGGTCCCCTAGGGGATTCGGAAACCGGAAGGTTCATTGTACCAAAAAAAAAAAAAAAAAAAAAGAACCGAGTGAGATTGAGTTTGGACTCGAGCCTTCATTCTGCGAAATTAATATTAAGTTATTAACTAGTCGGACTTGAGCATCTGCCGGCAAGATGTCAAATTTAGGAAAGATGAATTTTTTAATAAAGCCCAATCATAGACTCATAGTCAAAAGAAGAGTTTGGAGAAAGATAGCCGAACTATATAATATTACATGAACAATTAGAATTTTTAATCTTAATTAATTGATGAGCTACTAAAAAAAATCATAAAACTTCATATATTTTATCTTTAAGTTCGGCTTGTTAACTAATGAGTTTGCGCTTGCATCATTTCTTCGAGTTCGGCTTGTTTATTTCGCTTAAGAACTCTAATCATAATTTTTTATAATTTCTTAAATCACTATTTCATTTTTTATGAAATACTATGCAATTTTATGGAAATGACTAATGCACATGCACCATTTTCCTTAATTAACACCATTTCCTTAATTTATGGAAATGACTAATGACAAATTGCGACATTTTTTTAAAAGCATCATTATTCCATTACACTTTTTAAAAAAGTGTTGCAATTATTTTATTTTTGTAACATTTTTTAAAAAGTGTCGCAATAACTTTTGATTTTAGTTACACTTATTAGAAAAGTCATCATATTTATGTTGCAAGAAGTCCTTTTTCTTGTAGTGTAAATACAAATTTACAGTTGTAACACCAAAAAGAAAAATGAAAGTGAAGGTGAAAATAATTCATGGTAAAATTTGATTGGAGAGATGGGTTGTCACGGACAATATTTAGGCACAAAATTATCATCCATGCGAAGCAGTAGTTGACTGATTGGTGGTCAATTTCTATCTATTGGTTGAGATAAGGATACGAAAAACATGATCGGTCGTGTGGTTTGTGTGGCCAAAATAATCAAATATTATTGTTTCAATAGTGACAAAATTCCAATTAATGTAATGTCTACGTGAACTTTTTTAATTTCTAAGCTCTAACCGTGACTTTTTATAGTGAACTTGTGTGCACATATAAAGGAAATTACAAATCACAATATTGAAAGGTCATGCTTTGAGGTGGTTTAAGGGTTGTAGTTTTTAATAAGAATATATTTTATTTATAATGTTTTTATAATTATGTAACTAATTAAGTAAACAAAAATGTGTATGCTAAATTTATAATATTTCTAATCTGCAGTTTACAACTGTTAGCTAAAAGTTTGAAGTGGTATTAATTAACATGTGATTGAATGTCGAATGAAAATAGTTCATCCTTTTAACTAACTAACTAATATTATAATCATTTGATCTAATTAATGGAACGCATGCCTCATATATATCTATAAAAATTAACATGTGGTGGCACTTATTGCATTAGGTATACCACTTATATATTTTGTATTTATTAAGCTGATTTGGACATTAGTGTATATAATAAAATAAGACAATTGATGTTAAACTTAACGACTAGATAAAAATAATTTTTACAGTATATGATATTCTCATATTTAAATGTCATATTTTTAAAAGATAAACATGCATTTTTATATAAAATTAAATATAACGAGATGACGAGTCTATGCAACTTAAAAATCCATGATGCAGATTTATGCACACATATATATAAAGACAACACTGAATTGAATTTCTTCTCCAGTAGTTGAGGATAAAATAATTGAATCCTCAAGTAGTAGTCCCTTTCATATACCAGTTGCCAAAAAAATAAAAATAATAACAAATACCTAATAATTGCAAGAATAAAACCAATGAAGGGCCTTAAATTTATTAATATTTTTTGTAACATTAATTGTAATAGAGCCCAATAAGGAGGTTGGGCACTTGGGCTCCATTAGTGGGACTTGCTGAAATAACTTAAGAAAAAATTACACCTCATACTAACACATTTAAATTATATTACACTTTTCTACCTTTTATATACTTATTTTTAAAATTACATAAAATTATACCTAAAATCAAATTTTAATAACTTAACTTTTAATTAGGGAACAAAAATCACACAATAAGGATCAGAAAAGTGGGCACCGCTCTACAATCATCGGAGGCCTTTATTCCCAAAAAAATCCTCCCTCAAAAACCTTCTCTCGAACCTAAAAAAACGGGTCGTATCTACTACACTGCACGATCTGTTGTTGGCTTGATTTTCCGTCACTTCTCTTCGAGTTGATCCACGGAACGATGTCGCTGAGGCCGAATTCGAGGACAGAGGTTCGCCGGAGCCGGTACAAGGTAGCGGTGGATGAGAATGACAATTTAGTAGCCGATTGTTCCTCTGCCCGATAAGAAGGTACAATTTAGTAGCCGATTGCTATTGTTTTTCAGTCTTTTGCTAACAAGGGAAGGTTTACTGGATTTTTTTGCATAATTTAGATCGGATCCGATGACGGTTCTTGTCATTTGGATCGATCCGTCTGATCTGCTGCGATTCTCTTTGGTTTTTCCTATTGATCTTAGCCCTTCGGATTGAGTGAACTCTATTTGATGTTCTTTTTCAATTGGAAAGCCTTCCTGCAATGGTTGCTGGGGTTTGGTCTGATGATGCTGCTCTGCAGCTAGAGGCTACAACTCAGTTCCGTAAACTTCTTTCTATAGGTATTTATTTTTCATTTGTATTTAATGAATTTAACTTACTGGGATTTGTTCTGCGTAAATATTTTTGGTGGAGTTTTTTTCGTTTCTTGGGCTTATTTGGGGCCTTGTGGTCATTGTATTTCGCCAGAGAGGAATCCACCTATTGAGGAGTTATAAAATCTGGAGTTGTTCCCCGTTTTGTTGAGTTGCTTGGGAGAGACGATTATCCTCAGTTTTAGGTATCAATTTCTGGCTAGCTGACCGCGCGTCGCGACGCGGCAAATTTAAATTTATAATATTTTCCTCAACTAACCTCTACTAACTAGTAGTAGTGGCGAGTAAGGGTCGATCCCACGAGGAGTAGGAATTAAATTGTGATGATTCTCGTATTAATTGAATTAAACTAAGAAAGCAATTAAGGTGGGGGGATTGATTTTATAAAAATAAAAATAAAAATAATAAAATAAATAAAAATCAAATAAAATAAGAGAAGTCCAGCTTTCGGTTCAGTTATCACCCAATCTCAATCTACCGTTAATTAATTTTGACGCTTTCTTTAAATTGCTAATGAATTACCGACCCTAGCTAACAACAAGCTCTGTTAACCGAATTTTCCCTTACTGAATATTTAATCGAAATAAGCTCTTCGACTAAACCTAACTAGCGGACAACCTAGAATAAGCTCTCTAGATTTAATACACTAGCAGCATTAATTCCTAGGAAAATAGATCAGTCTAAGCAATGAACGCAAAAGCTCGGACCATTTAACTTATGCTCATGCTACCCTAGAGATGCACGACCCCTAGTTTACTACTAACGAAACGAGACAATAACAATTACGAATTAAAGTCTCGAATCTAGCAATTAAACTATGAATATTCGACCTAGCTGGCCAAACTAAATCAAACACCATAATTTATAAACATTAAATATAGATAACATGAATCAACTCATCAACAAGAATAAATACGACGTCTCAATTAACCAACGATAAAAAATAGATCATTCAATTCATAGACAAACTGAAATTAGGGTTCCAACATCCCCTCAAACTGGATAAAAATACTAGCCTAACATATTAATAAAAATAAATAAAAGATAAAAGAGAAGAAAATAATATTCTCCCCTTGTGTGCGAGTGCGGCTTCCCTCCGCGTGTGTAGCCTCTTTCACGATCTGTGAATTTTCTTTTTGTCCCTGTTGCTGGTTCGGCCTTCTATCTTGTGAGTGGCGTAAAAATAAATCCCTCTCGTAAAAAAATAATTATGTTCCAATTTGAAATTCCGTGAGTGATGTTGCTTCCCTCAAAATGAGTCCTACTCAAGTCCAAGACTAGCCAATTAAATCCTCTCTGAACTAACTCTTCCGTGGCTGCCCAAAATCAAGCTCCTCTTTGCCAATTCCATTTAACTCAAGCCCAACATGTCACTTTCATCATCTTTGGGCAATTAAGCATAAATTAGCCCAACAACCATTAATAATGAAAGGGCTTAATAAATAATGTCCTCTTGGGCTTCTTTTAATCAACTTCACCATTGGGCTCAAATTTTCATGTATTGGGGCGCCTCGATTATCGCTCACGTGAACTCTCCTCAACTGCTTCACGTCCACAAATACGCTAATATGCTGAAAATAAATATAAAATAATCAATGCAAATAAATCCATCAAATAATAAATAAGTCGAAAAATATATAAAGTGCGAATAAATTAAGCACATAAAAATACAGTATTAAATATATAAAATACGCACATTTTTCGACGTATCACTAGCTCTGTAGGCTATTGATTTTGTTATATTTTAATGTGTCCTTACATGTCAAATATTTTCCAATTATTAGTTTGAGGCGGCGTGGGCACTCACAAACATTGCTTTTGGAACTTATGAAAATACCAATGTTGTGATTGATCAAGGCGATGTTCCAATTTTTGTTCGGCTTCTCAGTTCTCCGAGTGATGATGTGCGCGAGCTAGAAGCTGCAACAACCGCCAGATGCCCCAACGCCGTGAGTCGTCGGTTTTCAATATATCTACGGGGCAACACATATATGTGGAGTATATGTACAATATATCTACAGTATATGTATAGTATATGTTCACGGCAATATATGTTAGCGTGTATAGCAAGCAGTATATGTTGTGTGTATAGGGAGTATATGTTCAGTATATTAGAAGTTTTTTTGTAAACTATTCAGTATATGTGTATATGAAGTATATGTTCAATATATGTTCAGCATATTTAGAAGACTTGTTTGTATAGGGAATATAAGTAACTGTTATAATTTGTTTATATATACTTTTATGTCTAGAAGTAAATAAAAAAAAGACATAATTTTGAGACATGTTTTTTCATTGCAACATATACAGAATATATACCAACATAAACGCAAAATATACCTCTGACGGCTGCGTGAATTACAAGCTGCGTGAATTAAAGAATTAAATGATGCAGTTATTATTTTTCATTTCTCTCTCTTAATCAAGCCCACAAAAAGGGGATGGAAGTTGAATGAATAAGATAACTTACTTAAGGCATTAATGGAGTTATGTATTACATATTAGGTAGAGATGTAATTATTTGTTTATTGATTGTATTTTTGCAATATTTTCAAAATCTTGTAGGAGAGATGAAAATTTCCCATAACTTATTATGTAATGGCACATATTTTTGTTATACACTAGTACGTACCCCGTGCGATGCACGATACAAAAATATTAAATGAGTTATTTTCACAGGCTTTGTCCTAAGTATATAAAGCAATAATAGGGTTATCATCTATTTTTCACCTCTTTTAATCAGCGTTAAGTGTAATAAACAATAAGGTTACAATCTATTTTGCACCTCCTTTAATCAGCGTTGTTTTTTAATCAAAACATTAAATATTATGAGCATGTTAGAGCTAGCTTGTAAAATAATTAATATATTATCTCACTAACACATTTATATGAATATAAATTTGATTTTAGTATATATATTTATTCCTCGATATAAGAGAGAATAACAATTTTACTTATTATTGTTCACCATATAATACTTAATTATTATTTTATTATAAACTCTGTTGTCATATAATGTCATTATTATTTAGAAAGTTATAGAACTTGTACGCCTTCTTTTTCTTTTTATTTTATGTAATGAAAAATATTTAATGCATGTTATTATTATTTATTTATGTAATCAATTTAAAATAAGTAAATAAATTTAAAATTAAATAGTGTATAAATATTTTACAAAATATACACATATTTTTTTAAAATTTAATTTTGTATACAATTAAACAACTTTGATTTAGAAAATGTAAAAAACTCAATCCCTTCTATGATCAAGATTTTTCTAATTCGCATTATAAAGATTTATAGTTTATTTAGCATATTATGCAATGAAAAATATATTTTACAATAATTTAATTATATAAATAATGAAAAAAAAAAAATAATAATGGGTGCCAATAATATACAAATAAATTATAAAAAATAATTAATATATTTCAATTTTAATTTTCTACCATTAGTAAAACTATTTAATGTTTCTGGTCATTATCTCTCAAATAGTAAATTATCTTAATTTGAAGAATAATTTATTTTTTATATTTAACAAAATAAAGCTTAAGAAAAAAATATATTAGCAAAGATTAATTCACCAACTTGATTTTGTTTGATTACATAGAAAAAAAAAAAATCTACCTAACCTGTTACAATTTTCTATAAATATTTTTGGATAAAAAGTGAATATTTGTGAAAAAAAATTAATATTATGGTTAGAACTTAAAATATGGTGTAATATTTATCTTGACCAAAATATTATCAACATGGTCATGGAAATCAATCTTGTAATTTGTTATAATGAATAGCAATGAAAATATTACAAATATTAATAAAATAATATTTATCTTGACCAAATTACTATCAACATGAATCACGGAAAATCAATCTTCTAATTTATTATAATAAATATCAATGAAAATACTACAGATATTAATACATTTATTTAAATAATTTTTTCATCATATCTTATTTGATCTTATTTGAAAACGTGTATATGGAAGCAATTAATGCATATATTTAAAAAGTTTCCAAATATAGTATGCATTAAATGTTTCCTAAATTTTTGGCTACTATTTTTAGTAAATGGTAATTCTTATTATATATATAAAGATAAAGAATTACTAGTTGGCTGGATGGCTGTGCGGTTCTAGTCCAGTCTATAATTATAACCAATACTTGTCAAAATTTAAAAATACACAATAATATATTTGTAACTTAATTCCATAAGACTGGGTTATACACATCTATATTGAATATCTGAATACAAACCTCGGTTACGCATTTACTCAGCATTCGAGTGGTGCCTTCGACATCATCACAATAGTACAAAACTCAACTAATTTTGTACGCATGCCATGCTAGGCGCTATCGTTAACAGAAAACTGGTTTGTTCGATAAAATTAATCAGTTTTACCAACACCTAGAACACTTACTTGAAATACCGAAAACAAATTTGATAGTTTTCATAAATCATCAAAACGACATTCACAGATGTTCAAGCACTTTGTAATACAACACAGTAAAGAAACACCACATAGGCTTATAATCCACTTCCATAAGGGGGAATTATACACATCGATATTGAACATCTGAAACAAACCTCGACAATGCATTTACTCAACATTTCTGTGGTGCCTTCGACACCATAGCAATAGTACAAATTCAACAAATTATGTATGTATCCCATGGTAGGCGGTATCGTGAATAGAAAACTGATTTGTTGAATTAAATCAATTAGTCTTACTATATCAAGACCATATATATAGATTTTTTTTTTTTGTAATTAAGTATAAAAGATAATCGGTACCATAAAGGCTGAACGTATACTTGATAGGGTCCACAGACTTAAGATCATCAAAATCCACTTTGTGGAACATCTCCATTTCCCATGCCTTGACTATGTTTTGCACCTTTTCCTCTAGTGAACCAGGTGCCCATATCTATAGAGAATGTGAATTTAGACAATATTTCTAATAATGTATAATTATTATTTTGTTTCTTAAAAAGAAGGTTATAAGCTATAGTCATATGCTAAATTGTGTCAAAATATCATATTCATTTTTATAGCAAAATTTTTAAAGAAAAAAAAAACACAAAGTAAATGGACAAAATACCTTGGTTCTGCCTTGTTCAAAGAGTTTATCTACAACATCACAGTTTGGAGGAGAGCCAAATCTCTAATTAATGTTATTTACAACATCTTCATTTAAGTAGCCTATGTACTTGTCTGATGCCATCTTTTTGCTATGTTGAAAATTTTAAATGATGAGATATTCATAAATACAAGATAAAATGTGGATATATGGCCATCAGAGTTGAACATTATCTCACTTCCCTCTTCACGAAGCTGCTTCAAATTCACCGCTCGCAGCTCAATGGCATTAACTTTGTAAGGCACCTCTGTACCAGCATCTGTGATTTCGAAATCACTCCACCACTTGTGGATGGAGTTTGAATCCGCCAGTTTCTGCCTCTAGTCCTGAAGAGCGGGTTCAAATTTGAAGCCTCCGAACCTAAAGTTATTAATAGCAAGAACAAAGTTTAGAAAAAAAACAATTGTCAAATGAGTAATTTCTGATTAAAATAAATGTAAAGTCGCCGACCAAATAGACATAATTCTGGCGATGCCGAGGCCACGCTGTGTGTGCTCAACCCGAAGTTCTATGGACACCAACACATCAACATTAAACAAAAAAAAGATCAAATATTTATACTGTGATTCTAGCCCATTTCCATGTCCGATGATCTCATGATCGAAAAATTCGAACAAACGAAAGGGTCATCTTGCTACTATGATAAGAGATCTCGTCCTCCAAAATAATAAAATTTGAGGGTTTTTTCTTTTTTGCTTTATTGGAACAGAGCTCAAATCCCGGCGGCCGATAGGTAGTCGGCTGAACCCTAACTCACGAAAACCATCAAATACTTTCATAAATCCCAAAACCAGGTTTACCAACAACACATCACACACAATTACGTTGAGTTCTTGAAATATCAAACCCGATCAAAAAATTACCCAATTAAACACGACATACTTAAAATGCAATCGACAAAATTCCCACAGAGAAAAAAGTAAAAAATAGAAAAAGGAACCGGCTTGAGATGCGTCTGGACAACGGGTGAGATCTGCCGGAAATTCTTTAGTGACTCTTAATTCCAGCCAGTTCTCGCTCGTGAATCGAAGAAGCCCGTGAAGGCATACATTGTTGTTGTTTTTTTTCGCCTCTGCAAAAGAGAATGGGTGAGGGGCAGATTTTATCCGCATCCTCGTTTTTTTTACCTGCTTGACAACAAATCCACCATCGTCAAAATCAAACACACACCACACACACAATTTCGATTCAGCTAATGGATTGAAAAAAAAAATGCTGAAAAACACAAAGATCGACAATTGAATCAGAACAAACCGAAGGAAAAAGGCAAAAAAAAACCAAAAAAAAAACCATGCTCCTACGTGGATGAAAGCCAATAAACTCGTCTCCCTTAATTCTGATTGGAAAATTAAGAAGAATGAACCCTCTCTTCTCTACTTTCTTTATTTTCGGTCATGGAGGAATAGTGGAAGACGTGCGTGACACTGAAATAAGACTCCTTTTTTTTGGTCTGGACAGGCAAACGTGAGAATGGGCAAAAAGCTTAAAGCATAAGCCGTTCCCAGATTTTCCGTGAAAAAGATCTCCCAAACAGCAGCGACGAATGGAAAAAATTGCCCCGTACGATGACTGAGCAGATTTCCCGGGACCTGCCACGCCCATGTCTTCCAAGGGCAGTGAAATCAAGTGAGGTGATTTCACGTCCAAAGCAGTGGCAATGCTCGTAAAAACAATTAAAATTGTAGGGCATTTATGTTAGGCAAGAAACGCCACGTGTCGCCACCTAAAGGCACCTCTTATTCTCTTATATGTAAGGCCATCTCCAGCCCTTTACTCTACTCTAGAGTAGAGTTAGCCAAAAACCTAGTTTCATCTCCAGCCCTTCGCACTACATTTTACTCTACATTAATAAATTAATTTTTTATCCATTTTTTCACCTAAATTTTAATATATATTTTTAATTAATCTTAAATAACTTTTTTACCCGAATAATAAAAATTAATTTTATTCATTTTTTTCAACTAATTTTGAATATATATTTTTAATTAATCTTAAATAATTTTTTTACACAAATAAAAAAACAAATTTTTTAAAAAAAAAAACACGAGACGACTTCATAAGTTCAAACAATAGGAGTACAAATTACATAATACTATAAAAAAAAATATTAAACAAGTAATACAACAACAATACATTTAATTTTCTGAATTAGAAAATTCCTCCCATAAGTGATCAATCAGTGCATTACGTAGGGCGATATGAGCTTCTTTATTTTGAATTTGTCTGTATCGAGCAACAAATGTTTGGAACTGAGAAGCTTCATTACCCACCGTTTCAACATCTGGGATCGGGACCTCCATCACAGCTTCGATCGGTGCATCAAGATCTCGTTCATCCTCAATTAACATATTGTGCATAATAATACATGCAGTCATGATATCTTGTAAGTCATTTTTGCTCCAAAATCGAGCAGGATTAGTCACAATTGCAAATCGACTCTGTAGTACACCAAATGCACGCTCTACATCCTTTCTGCAGGCTTTTTGTTTCATTGCAAAGTACTTTTTCTTTGGGCTACGTGGGTCACGAATAGTTTGGACAAGAGTTGACCATTTTGGATATATATTATCAGCTAAATAATATTCCATATTATACTCTTTCCCTTGGATGACATAATGTGCTGGAGGGGCAATTCCTTGAGTAAGGTCAGAAAACAAATGCGACCTCTCTAGCACATTAATGTCATTGTTGAATCCAGGCATACCGAAGTATGCATGCCATATCCAAAGATCATAATCGGCTACAATTTCTAGGATAATAGTTGGACACTTACTCGTCCTGTATACGCACCTGCCCAAGCTGTTGGACAATTTTTCCACCGCCAATGCATACAATCTAGACTACCTAACATTCCGGGAAATCCATGTTGCTTACAAATATAAAGGAGTCTTGCAACATCATTGGCGTTAAGAGATCTTAAATATTGCTCGCCAAAGACCTCCACAATAGCACGGCAAAATTTCTTCATGCACTCAACTGCAGTGGACTCCCCAATGTTTATGTACTCGTTCATCGCGTCTGCTGGTACTGCATATGCCAATATTCGAAGTGCAACAGTTAACTTTTGAAATGTAGACAACCCGAGTTTTCCAACTGCATCTTTTTGCTGCAAAAAATAATTATCATGATTTTTTACAGCATTTGCAATACGAAAAAATAAATTTCTAGACATTCGAAAACGCCTACGAAACATGGCTTCATTGAATTTTGGATTTTCAGAAAAATAATCATTAAAAAGACGATTTGCGGCCGCTTCTCGATCGCGAAATATTGTTTTACGACCAACGACTGAACCTCCATGACTCTGTCGGAGTTGTGTTTTGAGAAATTCTTGTACAAGAATGTTATTATTATGAATTTGTTGAGATATCAATTGTTGCTCTACATCGTAGCTATTTAGTAACTGCTCAAGCTCATCATCAGATGAATTTGAAGAAGAAAATGCAAAAGAACAACCAATATGATCGGGATTCATATCTTCTCAAAAAAGGAAAAAGTTAATGTATGAAAATATTGTTAAGCATACACGGTATAAATAGTGATTAAGAAATTTCGTATGAAATTTTTTGACCGTAGGATGAGATTTCCATAAAATCTTGTTCATTCAATTCTTATCTTTTTATCACTTCAAAATAATATTTAAAAATTTACTAAAAAGCATAAATGGATGAATTATTGTGGATGAGTTTTATCATCTTGCCTCGTGGGAAACAAATCAACTTTTTTGGGGTTGATGAACCTTATCAAAATGCTTGCAGAACAAAATTTGCAACTTTTAATCTGAACCGTCAAATCATATTTTCTTGTCATGATTTTGAAACGTAAGATTCTTATCTAAAACCAAACACAAATTAGTTTCACTCTATAAATACACAACAATACAATGCACAAAATCCTACAACTACTACACAAAACAACCAGTTATTATTTATTTATTTTTAATCCAATTTTTAAGAGTCATCTTTCATGTGGGAACCAACTATACTATAAGTGAAGATAAACACCTTTGTCAGTCCTACATGGAAATTTCTCAAGATCCAGAAGTGGGTATATATCAAAATAGAGATCAATTTTGGCTTCGTGTAACAAATGAATATAATTCTACAAAGCCAAATTCAATGTGGCCAGATCGTCCATAAAGATCGATTCAATATCGCATGGGTAGTATCAATACCGCTATTAAGTTGTTCAAATCCTGTGTGCAACAAATTGAAAACGCAAACATCAGTGCAGCTTCTGAACATGATGTGGTAAGAAAAAATTATTCATATAATTTAATTTTACCTTTAACAATATTAATAGTTTCTAATGTGATTTATTATAGCTGGAGCGTGCGAATATACTATAGAACCCAAAAAATAAAAATAATCGACCATTCAAGTACGATCATGTGTGGTTGATTATGAAAGATTATGCATTGATTGAGTGCACATCACATAGGCGTAACTCCATTTCGTCTCAAGCGCAAGCAGATGCACAACCAGAATCTCCCATTTCACCGAATCCAGGGATATCTAATTTTTCTATTAATTTAAGTGATGAAAATGCTAGTAGTGGCTCATCTTCACAACGGCCGACAGGTATTAAAAAATCAAAATTAAAGAGAAAACAGGGAGAAAATGTGTCTGCTGTTATAAAAACAATGAAGGATGAAAATATAAAATTCCGAGAGATTATAATGAATTCGGCGGTAAAGAGGGATCACGATAGTGACATGATAAGACAAAAACTTGATATCCAAAGACAAAAAAATGAATTGCGAAGACAATTTGTTGAGACCACTACATGGAAAGAGGAAGATAAAATTTTATTGATGGATTTGAATTCTATATCAGATAATTGCAGACGTGAATATTTTAAGAAAGAACAAGAAAGAATTTTGAAAAAAAGAGAAGAACAATCATTTCATGCGCCCGAAGCCAATAACACTTTTGATGGTTACAGCGAGTTCTTTCAATATCTTGGTGGATCTGGGAGTGGTTTGAGAGATTATTAGATTACAAATTTTATTACAATGTCATGTGTGTTGTAATTTCTTAAGTCATCTTAATTTAAGTCATGTTGTATGTTGAATTATGTATTTTGTTGTTGTTATGTATTGTACTTTTAAATTTTAATGGAATCATTTTTTTACGGTGATTTTTAATTCATATTTTTATACTACAATAAAAAAATATTAACAAAAAGTAAAATTAATAAAAAAAAACGTAACTAATTATTAATTTATTTAACATAATAGTTGATTAATTTCACACATAATAAAAAACATTACATACAAAAAAAAAAAAAAGAAGTATAGATGCTACAGTGTATCTCCACATGTGGAGATACACTATTCAAATATTTGTTATAGAGTAGAGATATAATGCAGCACTGGGGCACTTATTTTGCTCCACATTAGCATAAATCAACAAAGTAGCGTAGCACTGGGCTCGCTAAGAGAGAGATTTTTTCGCCACTTTACAATCCACTCTTCGGTTTCCAACAGCTTAAAGTACATTTAATCAAGTGAATGCATTGGGTTTCTAATTTAAATTTAAATACATGATTATAATGTAATAAATTTAAAATTTCAAACCATAAAATTATTAAATATAACTAAGAAAACAAAAGTTTGTACTTGAGCTAAGCCTAAGGTCTTCATCTTATCAGTTCGTTAATTAAACGAATTAAACTCGAGCTTAACGAACGAGCTGTGAAAAATTACATAAATAAATAGTGAAAAATTAAATAAATAATATTTTTTTCAAACTTTAATATCCCCTTCCGGGAAGCAGTCCAATCTAGCTGAGTTAGACTTGACTCGTTAACTAAACAAGCTCGAACCTTAACGAGTCGAACTGAATTCATGAGCGACTTATTTTGCTTAACATCTCTAACTCATACAAATGGCTTCTATCTCCAATGCCATTGAGTCGAGTACTACAACTACAGCACAATGGACAACTTCTTCCTCACAATTTTGCATGAAATGTAATGTCAAATAAACCGGTCAACCTAAAATTGCTCCCATTTAGATTCATAATAATAATAAAGAGAAAGTAACATATGAAACCGACTAAACGATCTAATCCGCGCATAGACCAAACAAGCATTAATGTTCAATATGACTTTAATCCCGCCATTATCCGAAAAATGAAAATGACGACTCATTCGTTATATTATTAGGTTAGGACAATTTGGCAATTTAACGTGCTTGGGTGTTGATTTGAAACAAAATACAAAATCAATAAATGAATCTAACACAAATCAATTAATAGTTCTAACTATAAATCTCCAATTAGAGTCTAACCACTAGTTTTACGCCAAAAGTCTTTACAAACACAACTAACATATCAATGAGTTTGGATGTTGATTTTAGGAAAAATGAGGGGATAGAGGATATGGGATTCGACGTGGCCAAATCCCGATTTCGAGCCAGGTTTGGAGGGACCTGAACTGATGGAAATAAAAATGTTTAGAATTTTTAATTAATTATTAGTTTTCCTTTTTATTATTATGATATTAGTGGTATTATAGATTTATTAAGAAACTTATTTATTTATTACTTCGTTAAGATTCTTGTCTTGTTGGACAAGTTAATATTAGGATTTCAGGAGTCGTATTTAAAGGACTCTCCTCGTTTGTTTTATGGAGTTGATTTTTTAATAAAATATACGTGATTGGTTTTATTGAGAAAGTATTATGTTTATCTCGTTTATCACGTGAAAATGATAAATGAGATACTCTCTCGCTAAAACCAATCAAATATATTTCATTCAAAAATAAACTCTAATAACACAAAAGAGGAGGAGTTCTTTAAATAAGGCCCCTAAAACTCTAATACTAACTCGTCCAACAAGATAAGAATCATAACAAAGTAATAAATAAATAAGTTTCCTAACAAATCTATAATACCACTAATTAATAATCATAATAATAAAGAGGGAAATAAATAATTAAATTAAAAATTCTAAACATCCTTATCTCCATCATAAACCAACCAAAACTTAAGCACGAGTCGATTCACTGAACCAACGGTTTCGGGCCGGTTCATTAAACCACTTGTTCTGGGCTAGCCCGGTTCAATTGAAAACTAACTAAAATATATAAAATGATAAAAAAAAAAGCCAAATCGTCGAGCTCGATGGTTCAAATTCGATCCGGCGGTTCAAAACTACAAAAATGTGATTCGAAACCAGCCCGATCATAAACTAGTTCTGGGTCAGTTCAGGGCTGGTTTGAGTCGATTCGGCGAGGCGGCCCGACACATGGCCATGTCTAGCTAGGATTGGTGAAATTGATTTTGTGCAATTGGGCTGCAACACAGCCACGTGCAACATGAACTGGACCAGACCAATATAGCTACACTTGCCATCCAATTGTTGATGCTAGGAACAAGGTTTAGTTGTTGCCTTTAATTTATTTAAATTACTTGACACATCCACCTTCATAGTTATGCTACTTAAATTAAAAGTTATAATGTCATTAAGTTAGCATCATGTTTTTTAAACTAGTGTTTATCCCGTGCGATGCACGGAAGAGTTCATATTTTAAACATTTTTTAGACTTTATTTTAAATATAATTATTTATATTTTTCACTTCTCGTCTATTATGAAAATAAAATAAATACAATCAATGAAAAATATATATTATTAAATACTTTTCTTTATACAATATTTTTTATTTAAGGAATATTATTAAACCTTACGGCTTTGATTTGTTTTTTTAAATCAATAATCCAAAATATATGATTGTTAACGTACAAAAAATAATAGAAATAATCCAGACTTTAAAGTAAAACTATTTTTTATTATTTTACAAATAAAAATCTTCCAAATTATTTTTAATTTAAAAAAAAAAATTGGCAAGTTTGATAATGAGTTAAATCAAGTTATACAAATGACTAAATAGTTCAAATGTTATATTAATTATATTTTAAGAAATCCGATTATATAAAAATGGGTAAAACAATATTATACTAATTAGTTTGTTAGGATTGTGATTATATGGAAGTTAAAATAAAATGAAATGTAACCAAAAAATTTGTTCGTGGTCTTTTCCTTTAAATGTTTGAATTTAAAAATTTAGTAACCAAATTTACATTATATCACGTAAGGAAAAAAATAAATAATAAATATTATTAAAGAGATAAATCAATAATATTTATCACTTAGATAATAAATAATAAATATTTACATGTAAAAAGATAAATAATAATATATTTACAAATATAATTCAGAATTTCAAATAAAGTAAAAGGAGGGATAACTCATATTTTAAAAAAAGTTTCTAAATATTTATTATATTGATAAGTATCTCCATAAGAATAATCATACCATTTTAATTTTAAAATTGGCAAGTTTGTTAGAGAGATAAATCCGGTTAGACAAATAATTAATTTGTTAAGATATTATATTAATTGTATCATAAAAAATAGGTTAGATAATGTAGATAAAAAAATATAATACTAATTAGTTTTTTAGAAATGTGATAATGAAAACCAAGATAAAATGAAATTTACCCAAAAAAATTGTTTGGAATCTTTTCCTTTAAATGTTTGAATTTACAAATTTAATACCAAAATTCTATTATATCACATAAGGAAAAAATAAATAATAAACGTTTATTAATATATTAAAATATGTAATTTTGAATTTCATATAAAGTAAAAGGTATGCTTATTCAAATTTATTTTTAAAATAAAAGTTATGATAAACATTTATTGATTCTCTTTTAAATATATTAATAAAATAAAAATATAAATCTAAACAAATTTTGAAACAACCAAAAAAATCGGATTGATTGGCATAAAAAAAGGAAGTGAAATCGGATTTGAATGCTAAAATCGGAACACCTTACCAAATTGAATGCTAAAAGATTCGATTTGATTGGTTACCTAATTGCATGGGCTGAAAAAATTCAAAAAACAAATTTAGGAATTGAAGAAGCGGGAAAAACACTATATTGAAGCGGGAAAACGAAATGATTTTTTTTCGGATTCTTCAAATAATTTTTCTTCTCCGTATTATATAGTAAATAGATTTGAATTGTAGTTGTCTGTAATTAGTACATATGATATAAATTTGAACATACTCTTGAACTCTTTTATTGAATTATTTATTATATACTTAGTTAGCACAAATAATTTTATATGTGTTATTTAAATGTCCGCGTGAAAAGAAAAAAGTATATGAAATTTAATAGTCTAATTTTCCAATTTCATAACATTTTTAGAGGAAAGTGATTTTGAAATGTCCTCATGACAATCTTGGACAAATATAGCGAAGGAAGATGTTACGAATTTCTCATGTATGACTCGACTTCAACATCAGTGAAACTAATGACAATTGTTGCTACACAATATTGCAAAAATTTATCTAACCTGTGTAAGGACAAATATACAGACGAGGTATTCTCGTCGCAAGTCTATTGGAAATCGACAATCTCCATTTAAACTGCACTTTTGATTAAAATTACGCTATATAATAATACTGTTGAGAACCTCATTTAGTATAAAATCTTTAATTTTATATTCCTCCATTGGTTAAACAAAAAACGAATTTATGAAGATCAAGATATTCAAATATAAGATTTTAATCCTATAATTCATTCTTTTGATTATAATTTCCAATATGTTTTTAATTTTTATGGCATTTAATCCATCCCATTCCCATCACAATAAATGATTAGAAAATTTATTTCACTTCACACCCCTATTGATGATCAATTTTTTTTTTTTTTAATCGAAATTCAACATAAATTTATTCCCACGCGTCAGCACACACGCACAGCGCATGGAAAATCCATGCCACTGCAACATTGTGTGTCCGCGTTTTGCGTTTTATCAATTTTTTTCCCAATTAATATACATATTTATTTTATTTTTTATTATTTTTTTAATCCTTTTTTCTCAATTTCCTCAAGTTTTATCTCTGTAGAAAAAAAAAGAGTGTGGAGCCCAAAACTGTTCCTCTGCTTTGCTGGCTTCAAGCTCGCCATTGTTGGTTTTTAATGGGGTTTGTCTGATGAGAGAGGCCAGAGCTTACTTGCCCCAATCAAACATACAATAATTTTAACAGCAGTAGTAATAACCTATCTCTCTCTCTCTCTGTCCATCTCTCTTCTTTTCATCTCTCTAGCTTTTTTTTTTTNAGCTTTTTTTTTTTGTTTCACTCGCTTTCTCTTTATATATTGTTATATTGCGATTTTTCCATTTCCTCATTTTTTTCGTCTCACATCACCTCATCGAAATCTACATCATCGTCTCGTTCAACCCGTTCCTCTCAGGAAGAAAAATAATTACATCCAGATTTGATTTGTTTCACCCTTTTCGAATTATTCTTTCCATTTACTGGATCCATAGATCTAAATCCTTCACCTTTAGATCTCCGTTTTTCGCAATCAGCTCCGGAGGTAACTTATTCATATATTCATTGATTTTAATGGGGAAATTTCTGTAGTGATTGATTTGCTGAAGGGTTTTTGCGATTTTAAGAAATTAGGGGTTTTTTGGAGGGTTTACTGTGTCCGCAGTCTTATTAATTTGTGTATTTGGGGACTTGGGTATTCTAGAATGTGAACGGGCTGACCAAAACAGTAGCCCAGAGTAAAAAATGGTGGTTTGACCCATTCCTTGTTTTGAATGTCCCGAACCCCTTTCCCTTTTGTTGAATTTCATGATTTTGATGATTATTAATTGTCCACCCGAGGGTCGTCCTCAATGGTTTTTTGTTGTTGGTCAAATATCTGATTCACATTGGAAGTGCTTATTTTTTGTTAATCTTGCTTTTGGTTTTGCAACATTTTGCTGTTTAAACTTTGATGATTTTGGGTGGTGTTGACAGACTTGGAGGCCCACTAATATCATTTGGTTATTTCAGGAGGATTGTATTTACTCAGTATAAAGTCAAGTCCTATCTGCAGAAAAGGTTGAATCGCGAGCTCACTAGATGTGGATAGTTTGGAGGGTCTTTTGGATGAGATGAGGGATGTTATCTGGGTTAATGAACTTTTTGAGGGCCTGTTTTCGGCCAAGGGCAGACCGATATGTTCACACGGGTTCGGATGCCAGTGGCCGTCAAGACGGGCTTCTTTGGTATAAGGACTATGGACAACATTTTAGCGGAGAATTTTCCATGGCTGTTGTTCAAGCGAACAATTTACTTGAGGATCAAAGCCAACTAGAATCTGGTTGCCTGAGCATAAATGATTCTGGGCCATATGGCACTTTTGTGGGGATTTATGATGGGCATGGTGGTCCTGAGACCTCACGGTTTATCAACGAACATCTATTTCAACATCTAAAAAGTAAGTACCTCAGAAGATTAGGAGAATCTAGATTCTGGAATTTCTTTCAACACTGATTTCTTAGGGAGTTTTCAGAATCAGTTTTTACTGGTGCTATATTTTTAGTAAAAGCTCGAAGTAGGGAGAATCTGGGCTTTGTTGTGTTTGCCTACCAAAGCTATAATGACCTTGATTAATTGAGAGTGTTTGTTAAATAGGTTTTAGACTGTTCTTTTGTCTGTAAGTCAAACGGAAGGAAAATTAGAAACCTAAAGCTGAGAAGAGGCCTTTCTCAGTATTTAGATTATGATTATAAATAGCAGAATCACAGAATCATAAGAGGAGTTGGATTTGCAAACGGCCAAACACTTCAATGCAGAAGTACTCTTTATTAAGGTTTGCCAGTAATTCTAGAAATAATGACGTTCTTGGCAGTTTCGCTTTACTTTATTGTCACAAATGCTTATTGTTACATCAATGAGAAAAAATACCATTTGATTTTGCTCTTATGCTAAGTAACTTTTTTTTTAATGTGAATATGTTTTCTATTGTTTAAAATCTTGTATCCTTTTTTTTTGTTTATTTTACATCCTTCAGGGTTCACTGCAGAACATCAATCTATGTCAGCAGAGGTCATCAGGAAGGCTTTCCAAGCTACAGAAGATGGCTTTTTCTCTGTTGTGAGCAGACAATGGCCTATGAAACCACAAATTGCAGCAGTTGGATCTTGCTGCCTTGTAGGGATTATCTGCAGTGGGATCCTCTATGTCGCGAACCTTGGTGATTCACGTGCTGTTTTGGGGAGACTTGTTAAAGCGACTGGGGAAGTGCTCGCTATTCAGCTCTCGGCCGAGCATAATGCGAGCATTGAATCTGTGAGACAGGAGCTGCAGTCTATGCACCCCGATGACCCGCATATTGTAGTTCTAAAGCATAATGTATGGCGTGTGAAGGGACTTATACAGGTTTGTTAATCTTTTCTCTTGATACCATTTGATTTGCTGAGAATTTCAAGAGTTTTGCATTTGGACCTGCTGAACTATTTTCTGTTATTATGCATATCTCAGATTAGAGCTAACAAGTTTTCAGTTGACTACTACTTTAGGTTTAGATACAGCTCATAGTCTCAATTGTTAACTTTCTGTTTGTAAGTCTGATAAAAGTCTTTAAATTTAAATATACATATCCTGAAGTTATCAACGCTCTAAAGCCTAGTTGTGCATGCATTGTTAATTTTTCTTGTTACCCATTATGAGGATTACTGTTATTTTTCATTTTTCTACTAATTATGATGCAAGAAAAAGTGAAACAATGGCAAGCTTCAAGTAGAAACCAATCATTATGGTGCGAAGTTATATCGATCTTACGAATTCTCATCACCTGTTTGAGCTATTCCTCATCCCTGTAAGAAACTTGTTGCATTTGGGTTCTATTCATGTTGCCGTTGGTAATATGTATGTTATTTTACAGATCTCGAGATCAATTGGAGACGTGTACCTTAAAAAGGCTGAATTCAACAGGGAACCATTATATCAGAAATTCCGACTTCGCGAACCTTTCAAAAGACCAATTTTGAGCGCAGAACCAGCGATATTGGAGCACCAATTGCTGCCTCACGATCAGTTCATCATATTTGCATCAGATGGTCTCTGGGAGCATCTTACCAACCAAGAAGCAGTTGATCTCGTCCAAAACAATCCACGCAATGTAAGAAGCACATACACGTTCACGCCTTTCTAATTTGAACTGTACTGCATATTTTTATGAGATGGATATTTTTATTATGATTTTTATGAGTCACAGCCTGCGTTTGGTTATGAAGTGCGTGCTGTATTTGTATTTGCCATATGTTTGTGATAGCCAGTGGACTTGACTTAAGTTCAAGCATGGAATGAAATGAAGCTCCCAAATTGTGGTTTATTAAGATGGAAAGTGGAACTATACGAGGAAGCAGCAGTTGCTCCTAAGTTAGGAGGAAAAGGAGAAAAACATTCAAGAACTTTAAAATATTTTAGTATCCAGTATAGCAAGATTATTATGTATGAAAATGTGATAGTTTTTTATGGTTATTTCGATGAGGGTTGATTACACGTGAATAATATTTTCATTTAGTGGAGATTCTCATAATACATACTAACACATTTTTTTTTTTTTTTNGATTATACATAACACATTAATGGAATATGGAATTGTTTATTTCGATGAGGGTTGATTCCACGCCTTGTCTCTGAGGTTTAGTGCGAATCACCGGTAGTTATACAGTGAACTTACTAATCCCTACTTGACATTACCTTCACTTTTACTAATTGCACTCTCAGGAAGTGGGGATATTTGTTTTGGTAAATGCAAATCTTTATGCTTTAGTGGCACATCTTGTATTTGATAAAAAAAAATAATAATAATAAATTTGACAGTAAACGAGATCGAACTTGTTTTAACGCGCAGGGGAGCGCAAGGAGATTGGTAAAAGCCGCTTTACAAGAAGCAGCAAAGAAGAGGGAGATGAGGTATTCGGACCTGAAGAAGATCGATCGTGGGGTCCGCCGGCATTTCCACGATGACATCACAGTTGTGGTGGTTTTTTTCGACCCGCACCTTGTAAGCAGAGCAAGTTCTGTGAAGAGCCCTACGGTTTCAGTCAAGGGAGGTGGGGTTACCCTACCTCTCAACTCTCTTGCACCCACTGAACCTGTTGCCACCTGATATAAATGGCCTTTTTAATTTTTACTTGCCTGTACTATTTTCGTCATGTGAATACAGGATTTATTGAAGAAAAGATTAAAAAAAAAAAAACACAAAAAGAGCAGGCCAGAAGTTCTTGAATTCTTTTAATGTACACCTTGTAACTCGTTTTTTATTTCTTTTTCTTCGTTTAACTGAAGTCTAATACTTGGCATAGTTCGATAATTGGAAAAAAGGAAGGGCTCAAAAATGGGTGGCGGACTTGTGAAGGTGACAATTGTGTTATCTGTGGTTAATGATGCAAGATCTCTATTCTGCATTTTTGTTGTTTGATGTAATTCTTGTATATGTTTAATCTTTTGTTTTTCAAGAGTTAAATCTGTTTTTCAGGAGTTAAATTTGATTATTTCTTATCAATTTTCAGCTATGAAGATTACTGAGGCTGCCTTGTAGTTGTGGGTGAATGGAAGAAATACTTCACGTTTTTANTTGTGTCATTTCATAATTTATGCTGAATACTCGTGGCTTTTGAGTGTGGTTTCTGAAGGTTTTAGCAGGTTTTCTTTGTGATTCAAACTCACATGTGAAAGTTTTTCGCATGAAGTTCTCATTTGGAAAAAAAAGTTGTAATTCGGTTTTCAACCGGGTCTAGCTATGGTATGGTGGATTTGGACTAAAAACCGGGTTTCTTATGGATTGTCTGCATCAACCACTTGTTTTTTGTTTGGCAGGAAGATTAGGTCTGGTCTTCAACATCGGTTTAAGCAAAAGATTTTGCGTTTAAGAGTGTGTCAGACATTTTTCTCTCTACCCCATAAAAACGCCTTTTGTAGTTTCCACTAATATTAATATTGCAAGTAATATTATTATTGTCAGCTAAATATTTCTAACCTGTACCATAACTACATTTCCTTTAATTCTTTTTTTTTCTTTTAACTTTTGTCTTTTTTAACATAACTGTACACCCAAATAAAGGGTCCAATGATCAATGGCCATTATCATTTTCCAATAATTTTTTAATTTATTCATCTGAGGCCCTATGCTATGAAATGTCATAATTTGTTTATGTTATTTTATAAAAATGACAGGTTAATTTATAAGTATACATATTTGTTGAAAATATATGATTAATTAAACATTTTATTTGCTTAATAGCATTATGTAAAAAATTAATAAATTAAATCACCAAATAACATGAATAATAATAGCCTGAGAAAATAAAATAGTGTTATGTTTGGACACTTGCGTCACACAAAAAATTGGTCAACCTCGATACGAGGAGACATTACTAATAAGAGGAGTAATACTAAGGAATCTTCAGTTTCAATTTTTGGTTAAATCAAGGTTTTTTGATAAACTGTGAAGTGTGAAGCACCAAATCATTTCTGGCAATATATAAATTATTGAAAAAATAATTTTTACAATGAACAACTTTTACAATGAAGAGTAGGTTAACTGATTTTCTTGTGAACCGTAGTGGTAGTGAAAGTCAATTAAATTCATTTTGGTAAATGCTTTGAAGGAAACAAAGATAATAAAAACCCAATTTTCATTTTATGCATTCATTAATTTCACTATTTGCTAAGTACTTTTGTTTTAGTAATATAACTTTTAAAATAAAATTCAATTTCTGATACAGAATTTACTCTCTATAAAATTATATATTTCTACACATCAATCATTATTTTATATTTTCTTATAATATTAATCTTAATCATTTCAAATTATTCATTTTATCGTGACTCTAGTGAAAAGCATATTCAATGGCTCACTTATTATCTTGTAAGCATTTACTTATTAATTTTAAAATTTTAAGAAAAAATATGTGTATACATTATAATACCTAAATATAATCTCATTTATTTAGTCTTGGTGATAACACCACTTTTATTTAATCTCCCGCCTATACATATTCTTTTCATTTCACCACACAAAAAGGCGCAAACTATTATTGTAGTACGGATAGGTATAAATGTGACCCCAACCAATTTCAAGCACATCGGTTTGTCCACAAGTGTGGAGGGGTCAGGAAAGTCTTTTCACATCTGCAGTAGGATCTAACTGTAAATTTATACACTTGTTAATAAGTATGCATGTTGAACTATAAACTAAATTATGTGCAAAGAGACATTGGATTCTTGATACTCCAGTTGGTCGAACTTTTATCAAGTTAAACTTAAATTGAGTTACACTCGTTAATTAAATAAATTTATAAATAATCGAGTCCCTTTATCAATAACAATGAGTAAAACAATAAAAAATTTACATAAAAATACTTATTTTCGAACATTAAAGAGTCGAATCAAGTTTGAATCTTAATGAGCTGAGCCGAGTCAGAACGATTCGTTTAGTTTAATCACTCTAACTATGCCTCATGAACGTCTTTAGCAAACTTACAACAACAAAGACTCTTCATTGTATTATCATTTCAATAGCTCGTGTTAATTAGGCCAATCTAATCAATAGGTGACATTGTTTTTACAAACAAAAAAAATCACAAATTTTTATTTAAAAAAATGTCATACTTTAAAAAACATTATAAACAAAAGCATGATGAAATATGACATTTGATGGTATAAATATACATTTTTGTTCATAAATCAGCATGACGAGTCGATCCGCCTACAATTAGACCGGCTCACATAAAAACTTTTGTTCTCTAATTACCATTTAGGCTATTAACACACATGTACACACAACATAACAAGGGCAANNNAAAAAAATAATGAAGAAGAAGAAGAAGAAGGAGAAGGAGAAAACAACTCTCTCTCGTACCTACACATAGATAGATACGCACATGCATGCTGGGACACAAATCTATCAGTGAGACCTGAATGGACTTGACTACCCTTTTTTACTGGTTATTGCTACAAATTTTGACTCCTCTTTTCTATCACTAGTCAGCATTCCATCTGTCAAACTTGTGAAATATCTCTGAAGTAATGAATTTGTTGCAGCAACTTTTTTATTTTTATTTTTTGGCCCTCTTTTTCACCATTCAAAAAATGCATAGCTATCAGGAAGAAGACCCTTTTGAATTTTGAGAATGAAACAATCTATTCAAATTACATCTTTCACGTTTGTACAGTACACAAGCTTTATATGATTAAAAAGCAAATTTAGAAAATACAACATATAATTTTTCCTTGTACAAGTGCCATCAACTGTTGTTTAGATTGTGCCAGACAATTATACAAAGATGTATTTTCAAGAAAAGAGTGATAAAAAAAAGTGACATTGTTTTCCAAATTACAATAATTTATTGATATTTTTTCCAAATTATAATAATTTATTTTAAACAGTCCAGTTTGACAATTTTGTACTGAAGCCTAAGAAATGCTTTTTCCTCGAGCCCCTACCTCATAAACCTCCCCCTATACCAGGATTCTCTCGCTCTCTCTCTCAAGCTTCCTCACACACAAAAACAGAAACACACTTCATAGATTAAGCAAAACCAGTAATTTTTCTCCTTTTCTATGTGATGAAAGAAAAAAAAAATAGTAAATTGCACTCTATAAAACCCATAACCAGATATTAGTTTACTTTAACTTTTTTTATTTTTATTTTTATTTATCTTACTTGAGCTAAAGGTAGAGGAGAGAAGAAAGCTTTCATCTTTTTCTATTGGGTTATAGTCCATGCTGCAGAAGACAAGGATTAAAACCAGCTCTTTTTCCTTGTAGCATGATTTTCTACTTTTGTAGCTTTTAATCTGTTTAAGACTACATTATTTTCATTTTCACCTTACATTTATCTTGTTTTGTTATTCTGCAGATACCTACCTTTATCCTCAGGATTAAAACTAGGAAAACTGAAATGGGTCAATGGGTATCATGCTTTTGGTCATTTTTGTTCTTTCAGAAGAAAAAACTCTTCCCAGCTGTCCAGATATCAAAATAGGCTCTTTAGAACCCCACAAAAAAGCCAAGAAAATTTGAGTGGAAATTGAATCTTTGCAGTACCCCACCACTTTTCAATTTTTCTCCAAGAAATCAAATGGGCTCTTTAGAATCCCACGAGAAGCCAAGATAATTTGTGTAAAAATTGAATATTTGCACCACCCCATCACTTTTCATCTCATATTTTTCTTTTTTTTTTTTTCCTAAGAA